CGCGACCGGCGAAGAAAATGGACGATTGCTCACGGGTCAATTTCATAGGCCAGAGAGGTGGGCCGTTTGCTAGTGTTACGTCCACGATAAATAACTATATAGGGAAATTTGAAAGTAGTGAAATCAGTGACTTACGTGGACGGTCAACAGAGTGATGGCTCCGCTTTTGGGTCACTCTGCTTTTCACCGAGTTTACCCTGGGTCTCGGGAGCCTGGCGAAACGATTGATGAATCTGGCGAAAAGTCAGCGGTGCTTGTTCTCCTGGCTCGGCCTCGGATGTTCCGATACCACGCGGGTTGATGCGGCCCGCGATTCAGAATTTGATTTCGCAATGTTTGAAATATGAAGGGTAGGCAAAAGTAATTGCAACACAGTCGGATTTTACGACTAAGTATAATATGCTGAATAAGTACATGAAGCTACCAGAGACTAACTATGAGAAGAAAATAATTATATATATTGCCTTCTCTACAAATGCGCGCGCTTTTATACGTCGCTTTGTCGCTGAGAGTCGTTCTCCGATTGGTCCATGGAGTTATGGCGAGGGAAGAGATTCATTCCTTTGCATGATGTCACCGCGTCGGTGTCCTGAGTGGTGTTTAGGATTCAGCTTTCATGCTCCTGTTTATGTTGGCTTATCGCACTGAGCGATAGCGGTTTCTTTGGGTCGATCCGAGATCCGTCGATTTCGAGACTCTCCAGCAGCACGCAGCATTCGGCATTTTAATTATAATGTTTTAACGCTCGCGAATATGCATATGCGCACGTACTTACATCTAGTAACATAGGGATATAATATCTAGTGATGTCTGAAATCAGACAAGTCGGCCTCCCGGTCTATAATAATATATTGTTAATGTTCTAAAATAGATCCGGACGTTACACCCCCCTTCTTATAAAGAAAAATCCCGAAATACTTTAGCTTTGAGGGATTTGTCTGATTTCATTCATTTGTGCTTGTAATTCGCGATAAGAATATACAGATGGAATAGTGGTTGCTGTATGTGCAGTTTGTTGATTCGGCGTTTCGTTTGATAATTCTACGTTGGTTGCTGTATGTACAGTTTGTTGATTCGGCGTTTCTTTTTTTTGTTTCTTTTTAGGATCGGTTGCTAAATGTAATAGTAAGTGTGTAACGGAGCTCCATAACGCGCCAAACATGTGTAGACTGCAGCCGTATGCAGAATGTAACGCATAACCGTGTATTAGAGTGTCGAATACGATTTTTATAACTCGTATGAGTACAAAGATTCCGAATACTCCTGCGGTGGCAGATCCGAAAGTTACAAAGCCATTCCATATTCTAGAAGCGGTGTTATTGTATATTTTGTTTAATGTATCTTCGTCTAGTAAATGCTGAATTGAAATACTGCCGTCGTTAATTGATTGTCCTGCAAATCCTCGGGCGATGGTATGTAGTACTGCTCCTTTTTCCGCAGGAAACATGATATGATCACGTAAATTTTCTAAGTCTTTCTCGGAATAAATGCCACTAGTTGCGAGTGCGGCTGGGGTTAAGTATGTCCATGTGAGCTTTGTTAAAGGTTTCAGTATCTGGGGTGGTAATACCATGTTTGGTGTTGGATTGAATTGTATCCACGTATCCTCGATATGAAATTGTATAGGTAAAAGAGGATTACAGTTTCTTTCAGTGCTGTATCGTGTAAGAATTCGTGATTTAGGCGTTATGAAGTAAGATGTGTTACTGAGCATTACTGGTAAATCGGTATAGCATGAGTTTGTTCGTCGTAGTACGACTTCGAGCGGTATACACTTTACAACATGTATAACCTCGCCAGCAGCAACAGCCATATACCCAGGTGCCTTCATCAGACGGAAAGCAAATTCGTCTGGTAATAATGTAGCGAGAGACAAGGTATTTTGTAACACTTGTTTTTCTAACTCGCATTTTTGTTGTATTATATCATAATACAGTGCCTTCATCTGGGTCCTAATATGTCTTTCGACATATACAAATTTGGAGTTTATATATGTAAAAATATCTAAATTATCAATAGGAGTTTCTGTTTTTGTTTTGAATGTATTTCCTTGCTTTGTTTCAAAAATAAACAATTTTGGATGCTCAGTTCCCATTAGAGTATATCCACAAATAATATGTGGTCTTGTTAAAGTTAGA